AAGAGGAAGTTTTGATGTACCGTGAGAAGTGTCTTACTTTAGAGATCCATGTGACATTCAAAACAAAATTGATGGTTTAAGCGTCAACATTTTCAGAAAAGAAAACTCTAATGGAATCTATATCATCGTTTAAAATTGTATTGTATTGTAGGGAAGTAGTAGCTAACAACCCCCACCGGCCTTCAATAGATACCACAGAAAAAAAAAGGTTAGGTAGTTAAGTATTAAATAAGTAGTATTTTATAATATTAGTAGGCACGTAGGTAAGTATAATATTACATTTATTTAATATATATTATACTTATACTAGATATCCTAGTTATAGACAATTTTATTCTGTTTGGTGAAGGGCGAGGGCGTAACTATAAAAGCGAAAAGAAACGCCTTCGCGTACCTAACACCAGTGTTAAACGTTTGAAATTTCGAAATTAATTATAAATTGTAACGATTTTGAATTTATCTTTGATTATCATTGACATTGAGTACAAAAGATGTTTTAGAACATTAATTATTATAAAATATTAAATTATGCTGAAAGCCTGAAAGGACAGAGGAAAATTCACTTAAATTATGAAAAATCTCAAAAATCAGAAATCTTTTGTTAATTTGTTATCTAGAATATGAAATCAAGATTAATTAAAATTCAAATGATCCGTCTGTTTTCCTCCATGGCGAGTATCTTATTCTTCCACGTTCTTCTGGTGGATTCTAGAATATTCTATCCCCGATTTTGATACGCTGCGCGTGTATATGTATACCGTTCGTGGGTTAGTGACTTAGTGTCCTATAGTGTTGTGCAATGCCATTCGATAAACACTTTCGGTGTAGTACGCAAATACAATTTTTTCATGAAAACATTACTTTTAAATAGTATTTAATAAATACGAATTCATTATATTCATAACAACTAACAAGTAACTACTGGCCATAAATATTTTGAAATAAATAATTATATGCTACACTATATTTTACGCCTGTGGACATATTTGAAGTGAAAATTACTCGTGAAAGAACATAATTCACTACCAGTAAGTAATTTGACTTTTTACTTCCTACGTTATAAATAATTGGATTACCCATAGGTTAAACTTAGAATGTTATTAATTTATTATTATTTTACTCGTCTTTGGAAGTTAGAAATTGTACATTATATCGATGTGTGCTAGCGTCTATGTGTAAATCGTTATTTTCTGTATGCGATGGATATGTAAGCAGAATATACATGTGCTATTTTTTTTTTATCTATTATTTTTATTCTATGTCCATGTCTATTTTTTTCGATTATACATTTTTTAACATAAATTTCGGTTTCTGTTTTATGTCTAACTACTTCAAGATAATTTCGACCTATTACTCTTTGTTAAAGTGTTATAACCATGACTTGTTAGTAGGGACTTATATGGTATTGTATATATTTTGTATCATTCTTCCATCTATGCAAGTTTAGAGAGTTCAAAGTTACTACTATACTAGGTAGTTGTTTAATTCTTACTTTGAGACCTTTCAAGAACTCATAAATAATACATTTATGTTATTATAACCAAATGGTGATCTGATTAAAAAAGTTGTTCCTACCTATTAAGCTTACTTTTCTGGTATAGTTTCTTAAATGCTTTCTGCTTAAATTATT